CACTCTCTGCCCTTAACATTACCCGTAGTACTAAGCTTCATCCTTTGGCAGTGGAAATAAGGAATTCAATCAGAAACTCAACATGTAATATCAGTATTTCTTAGGTTAGATCCCATCAGGGACTTACAGGCAATGAGAGGGCTGACTCTCTTGCAAAGGCTGCAGCACTAAACTCCACCATTCCTTTTTCCTACGATAAAATCAGTCATATCACTTTGCGACGCTTACTATGGGNCATTTCTTCAGAAACTATCATTATTAATTGTAATTATTAAACTTTTAATTTATCAGTGCTGAGCGATTCTTTGGACTCAGTTATTTGCTCTCAGCTACAATTAATACAATAAACTTTTGATTTAATAGACTAATTGGGAGAAGAAGGTGTCTGTTGTTGCCAAAAATCTGTTGAATTGAATGTACAGTAGACCCGTCGTAATCCGGCCTGTCTAATCCGAAACCCCCTGTAATCCGACATGTCTATATGTAGCTTGGAATGCAATGGGCTGAAGAGAATGGTGCACCGTACAATGAACTTTTACTTTTGAGGAGACTGAAAGACAAGGCCTTACTCTCGTGTTTAACCAATGTAAAACAAGAGAAAATTGATGAATATTTGCATGCACCATAAATTTATTTGTTTATCCATTTTCAAATTAAGATCATAGTATGACTTTGGAAATACTTACATATGTTGTATGTAGTTGATTGACATCAATATGTTTAGTTATTATTTTTTGCAAGTGCTATAGTGTTAATGATATTAATTTTATAATAAACTCTATGCTATCTATTGTGTTGTTTAATTCACTAAGTCCCATATCATATATTATGTAGTACATATTGATTTGATCTTACCATTTTTATAAGTATGTAATATGTCAGATTACAAGGTACTCTTTTTCAAAAAGTTCCGGACTACAAGGGGTTGGTGGCAACCCCTTGTATACTCTATAGTCCGATAAATTTGATCATCCGACACCACCTTGCAAAACGTCAGATTACCACGGGTCTACTGTATTTAAAAAATACATACCAGTTAAAATATACATATCTGTTAATCTGTTAAATTGAATGTATTTAAAAAATCCATACCTAATGTAATTTCCTGTCCGCTCCCAAGTATCTTTTCAGTAAATTTCAGCAAAATGCGGATGTAGATAAGATGGAAGCCAGCAAAGAATGTCAAGCAATTAGCAGAATGAACTTAGTAATGAACTTATACAGGATATATTAAAGTGTTGCTAATATGTATAAGTACAAATAAAATATGATTATAATAAACATCAAGTAATTTACACTTATTGAATCATTGACTCAATCTGTAGTGCTCTACTGGCAAATAAAGAAAACATTCTATGGTTATTTCCTTTATGGCAAAAAATTTTTTCCATTAAATTAGACTCTGTTAAAATGACCACTTAATGTATCTATTAAATTATGTATAAATAAACTAAATTATAAAGAGCTTAAAAGTGATATAAGTTTATTTACTCTATATAATAAATCATAAATATGAAGCTTAACACTATATAAAGCTGATCATAGGTTAATTATATTAATCTGTTGAAATTTTATAAACTTAGATTAAATTCTGAATCAATAATTTGAAAAATATAAAATATAAGATGAAATTATAGCATTATGTGGCTTGGTTGAGCCTTGTTTTTCCTTTTGTTTCTTTTTCTTCCACCATTCTTCTTTCATAAACTTCACTTCTAGCTTTTGTTTCTTGACCTCACCGTGATTGTTGATCCAATGGTCTGATAGGTCTCTAGGGAAAAGGGGGTGACACCAGATTGGTCAAGGGACAGGCACAAGAAGATAGAGAGAGGAAAGCAGAAAAAAATCAAGACTTTTTGGAGAAAGGAGCCTGGAAGGAGAGGATTGATATGTCAGCAAGTAACAGAAAGAAGACCCCTCTGGAATAACATACTCAAGGTTTATTTTTGCCAGTCATCCCCTTTTGACCTTTTTCTTTTTCTGTCTAAATCAAACATTCACTCTCTGCCCTTAACATTACCCGTAGTACTAAGCTTCATCCTTTGGCAGTGGAAATAAGGAATTCAATCAGAAACTCAACATGTAATATCAGTATTTCTTAGGTTAGATCCCATCAGGGACTTACAGGCAATGAGAGGGCTGACTCTCTTGCAAAGGCTGCAGCACTAAACTCCACCATTCCTTTTTCCTACGATAAAATCAGTCATACCACTTTGCGACGCTTACTATGGGAGGAAGCTATTAACCATTGGCAACATCGTTGGAATGATAGTAACCAAAGTATAACGTTTCAATTTGTCCCTGACTTAAAAAGCTTCTTTAAAATAAAATGATTTACTCCCAATTACTACACAACTCAATTATTTACAAATCATGGAAAATTTGCTACGTACCTTGCCAGATTTTTAAACAGAACATCAGATCAGTGACCGAAATAGAAAGAACTGAACTGTGGCTACTCTTGCAGGAATTGAACATAGCTTGGCCATGCCACCTCTCAAACATCTGGACCAACCAAGAGATATTCTCTGCCTTTAAAAGACTTGCAAAAAAGATCAATCAGATCACAAGCCAACTAATCTACTGCTAACACTGACTTTGACTTAAAGACTGTCTACTTATCGTGTTAGCTTTGTAATTACTATTTTACATGCAAATACATTGTTACACGCAAATTTTATTTAATTATAAGTTTTGTGCATTTTATCCACAATTGCAAGGTTCTGTATGGAGTCTACATTGTATTTACTGCTGTTTACTAACATTATACTGTATTCATTTTTCTGCATGTAGTCCTGTGGAACTGATATCATGCGAGTACTTAGTCTTATTTAGATATAATATTACTTAATTTTATCTCATTTTGAGTTCGTGGATTTTATCAATTATCTTGCAGTTCTGCATGGAATCTACAATGTACTCACTGCTGTTCGCTTATGTTTTTTCTGTATTCATTTTCTTCTACTCATAATTTTGTGGATTTGATGTGGCGCGAATACTTTGTTTTACTAAAGTATAGTATAATTTAATTTTATTTAATTATAATTTTATGGATTTTATCCATTAACTTAAAGTTCTGCATGGAATCTATAATGTACATACTGTTGTTTNCTCGTAATTTTGTGGATTTGATGTCGCGCGAATACTTTGTTTTACTAAAGTATAGTATAATTTAATTTTATTTAATTATAATTTTATGGATTTTATCCATTAACTTAAAGTTCTGCATGGAATCTATAATGTACATACTGTTGTTTGTTTACATTTCCTGTATTTTATTTCTTTGGTAGTGCTCATAGCGGAGCCAAGGTATGCATTTATGCCTCCGTAAATAAATTGAATTGAATTGAATTGTCTAAATCAAAAAATCTTCTAATTCTTATCTCAACCCCATCTTGATCTAGGGCCCTTTATTTTGTAAAATTAGTTAAGATGTTGTTAAGCTAGACATAAATTAGATTAAGTCCTTTGTTTGTCAGCATATGGGACTCAATCAGTAGTATTGTCAAGATTGGTCCCAAGCATTTTTGTATTTCCCTTGTTTGTAAGTTGTGTACAATCATTTCTTCAGAAACTATCATTATTAATTGTAATTATTAAACTTTTAATTTATCAGTGCTGAGCGATTCTTTGGACTCAGTTATTTGCTCTCAGCTACAATTAATACAATAAACTTTTGATTTAATAGACTAATTGGGAGAAGAAGGTGTCTGTTGTTGCCAAAAATCTGTTGAATTGAATGTACAGTAGACCCGTCGTAATCCGGCCTGTCTAATCCGAAACCCCCTGTAATCCGACATGTCTATATGTAGCTTGGAATGCAATGGGCTGAAGAGAATGGTGCACCGTACAATGAACTTTTACTTTTGAGGAGACTGAAAGACAAGGCCTTACTCTCGTGTTTAACCAATGTAAAACAAGAGAAAATTGATGAATATTTGCATGCACCATAAATTTATTTGTTTATCCATTTTCAAATTAAGATCATAGTATGACTTTGGAAATACTTACATATGTTGTATGTAGTTGATTGACATCAATATGTTTAGTTATTATTTTTTGCAAGTGCTATAGTGTTAATGATATTAATTTTATAATAAACTCTATGCTATCTATTGTGTTGTTTAATTCACTAAGTCCCATATCATATATTATGTAGTACATATTGATTTGATCTTACCATTTTTATAAGTATGTAATATGTCAGATTACAAGGTACTCTTTTTCAAAAAGTTCCGGACTACAAGGGGTTGGTGGCAACCCCTTGTATACTCTATAGTCCGATAAATTTGATCATCCGACACCACCTTGCAAAACGTCGGATTACCACGGGTCTACTGTATTTAAAAAATACATACCAGTTAAAATATACATATCTGTTAATCTGTTAAATTGAATGTATTTAAAAAATCCATACCTAATGTAATTTCCTGTCCGCTCCCAAGTATCTTTTCAGTAAATTTCAGCAAAATGCGGATGTAGATAAGATGGAAGCCAGCAAAGAATGTCAAGCAATTAGCAGAATGAACTTAGTAATGAACTTATACAGGATATATTAAAGTGTTGCTAATATGTATAAGTACAAATAAAATATGATTATAATAAACATCAAGTAATTTACACTTATTGAATCATTGACTCAATCTGTAGTGCTCTACTGGCAAATAAAGAAAACATTCTATGGTTATTTCCTTTATGGCAAAAAATTTTTTCCATTAAATTAGACTCTGTTAAAATGACCACTTAATGTATCTATTAAATTATGTATAAATAAACTAAATTATAAAGAGCTTAAAAGTGATATAAGTTTATTTACTCTATATAATAAATCATAAATATGAAGCTTAACACTATATAAAGCTGATCATATATACACACTCACACAGTATAGTGTGTCTACTTAAACATCTATTTGGGACTATTGTTTTTATATCAATAGATAATTAGAATTTTATGAATAGAGCAGCAATATTCATTATTTTAATTTGAAGAGTACTTACTTTGAGAGATGATGGCACATCTGCACTATTAACTTCACTACAGTGTGAGAGTAGTTGAGAAAATTTAGCAAAAATGACTTCAGATTTTTCTGAAAATAATTACACAGATAAAAAAAAATAAATTAGATTTAAATAATAATAAATAAATAATTTATTTATCTATTTATTAATCTCTCATTAATAAAACAAACATTTTTTTAAATCAACAACATAAAACAAATTATTTCCAAATTCAAAAATTTCTATTAATTAAAATTAATTAATTAAAAAAATACATTGATTTACACAGAACAAATAAAAAACAGAACTGTTTACAGAACTTAGTATTAATTAATTTGTAAAGAAATCATTTCAAACCCCAATATTAATCTAAAAAATAAAAAAACAGGTTTGCCTAGAATATATCATCTTTCTGTTATCTTAGTAGATATTGTTTTGTGAAATATGAATATGATGTTTTATGTTGCATTCTGTAATTTCTATTGGTATATATTGGATATGTAAATCTTGGTCCCCAAACTTTTTGGTTGACAGGCCACATTGCACATAAATTGCAGGTAGGCAGGGGTTGCTCTGGAAAATTTAAAAATATTGCAACCATTTCACCAGTTTTTAATTTTTTCACCACTTCAAATTATTTATCACCAACAGTTTTACTTACAAATTAATGCAGATGCTGGTAGTCTTATCAGTTTGGTATCTAGAAAGCAAAAGTAACATGTTTTCTGTCACTTACAAGGAGAGGGCCAGACATTTGGTTCTCCGATTCAAACAAAATATGGTGAGCATGTAGCCTTAAACACAAACAGCTCCTTGTCTAAATAATAGGACCCACTTCTGAAGTGTTTCCAAAAAACAGGCCTCCGAAAATTAAATGTTTAGTTTATGAGTGTTTGGAAGTTTCATACTTCAAACTGACAATAGCTGAATGGATAAGAGGCTAGGTACTAGAGCTAGAAAATGTAGGTTCAAACCTTTAGAAAAATCATTTAGTTTTGGTTTTTTATGTCTAACTTTATTATTTTATTGCATCATTAGCATTATTATTAGTATTATTATTCCTTGCGTTTAAAACTTATAAAACAAGAGATTAAAAATCATAACATCATTTCCCATTTAGCAAAAACAAGTTTCTGTAGATTTAACTTTTTACATTGTTAAATAGAATTTTTATTTCTTCATATTTATTTTCAGATATGATGGTATTGTAATATTTGAAGCATAACAAACATGAGTACATGTTAAATTGTCCATAATATTAAATAAAAAAAATAAAACACCATGACTATTCTATCCTATTTTCATATCACTTGTCTTTTCATCCATGTGCAGTAATGTCTGAAGCTTATTCGCTTGTAAGAACATGGTATGTAACATGAGCAAAAATATCTGAAAATAAATGTGAAAAAATAAAAGTTTTATTTAACTACATGAAAGAGTTAAATCTACAGAGGCTTGTTTTTGCTAAGCAGGAAATGATGTCACAATGTTTAATTTCTTGTTTTATAAGCTTTAAAGGTAAAGAAGTAACAATAACGCTAACAATACAGTAAAATAAAATAATTATGTCACACATTAAAAAAACTAAAATTGTGAAGATTTGAACCTACATTGCCTAACTTCAGTAATTAGTATCTTACCCACTCAGCTATTGTAGCTCAGGATTATGAAACTTCCAAAGTCTGATAAGCTAAACACTCAATTTTCAAAAGCCCATTTTTCAGAAATACTTGAAAAGTGAGTCCTATTATTTGGATAAGGAACTGTTTGTGTTTAAGGCTATGCGCTCACCATGTTTCATTCAAATTGGAGACCCACACATCTGGCCCTCTCCTTGTTAGCAATAGCAATCATTTTTATATAATTTTTAATGAATAATTCTGAATAATACATTTGATCAAATGTTTAAACAATATTTTACATGTTCTGTCATGTCAAAATTTTTGTTTTAGTCTACTGAGAAAAGATCAAAGTGAAATGAGCAATTATTTCTTGTGATATTGTCACAATAAATAATTGCTCATTTCACTTTGATCTTTTTTCAGTAGGGCTGCAATTTTTAATCATATTTTTTTAATTTAATTTAAAATATATGCTCTCCACATTAAATTAGTACTGTAGTATCTTGCACCTGTACATCATACTTTTCCTTTAATAATACAGTCATGCCAGTCATCTATTAACTGTTTTCAGAGGAAAAGATTTGAATTGATATAACATAACTTCCCATTTGCCTTAAAATTTCATATATAGTTAATCAGGGCATCCTGCCCCCAAAGGTTTCAACATCTGGTCTCAACTTTCATCTATGTAACTCTGTTCTTGAGATTAAGGAAAGATGAATGGATTGACAACAGTGGGAATTTGTAGGTCTAGTTTTTTCAAATTTTAGCCCAAAAAGTCATTCCAAAAACTTCTATAAATTTTCTGTCAGTTGATAAAAAACTCTCCAATCTGAAAATGTTAAGCAGAATTGCATGAAAACTACCTTTGATTCTCAATGTCAGTTCCAGTTTTTCTGTCTAAACTTGCTGTGTGACATCATGATATCACTAGGTGGTGGTACACGAGAGCTAGACATTCTACTGTTTTTCCAGAAGTGTGCCTTGTAATTCAATTTCAATGTGAGAGCTGAAATTAGTGGAATTATTTTGTTTAAATATATTTTTTTTTGTTGAGAGACAAAATGAAAACCAAAATTTCTAAAGATAATTAAACTGTTTTCCCACAGACTTATTTCCTTGTTGAAGATGATACATCGAGTGTGTCATCCGGAATCTATGGCAAAAATTCAGCTATTGGACAATTGTAGAAAAACTCCTAATAAAGCCATGGAAATAACCCAGGACAGACACCCTAATAAAAGGGAGGGGTCGATGAGTTGAACGGAGAGTCATCGAGTTATCATTGAACTGTGCATATGTAGGCTGCTGCTCGCCATTTGCCGCCACCATCACTGTTCCTACTTGTCACCATTCTGAAGGACTCGTTACTACTCCAACAGAAAAGACTCCCTATGTGTGAAAACTCCAAGTATCATTCTATGAATTCTACAGGTATTTATCCTCACACAAACTTAATGTGAACTCTCTCTCTCATTGTTAGGGTCGTAGTAGTTATGCCCTATGTTATATTATCATTAGCATTAGCTAAGCATCTAGATACAGTTTGTAAATAGTCAATATCGATTAATAAATGAGCATTTTTATTACATGATAACTTGTGGAGTGTATTTCCTCTGGTTCTCTCCTTCTGCCAACATTCCGGATCCGAAAACCTGCAACGTGACCACTAACACAACGAAATAAGCAGCCAATCCAGTTTCTGTGTCTGTCTGTAAAGATAAAGTGGTGTCATCCTGACAAGTTGCCAAATAGATACCAACCCTGTGGTCACATCAAGATGAATGTCAAAATAAGTGGACTAAGGTTTTTATTGATACTTGCTATCACCAGGATTATATTTTTATCACCACTTTAATAAAAATATCACCAAGTGGTGATTTTGGCTCTGCAGGCAACACCTGGATAGATGAACCAAGACAGTTGTATTTTATATATTCCACATATACATAAAGTAAGTATGTTTCTAGCATTTACATCTATGTTTACATTCCAGATTAATAAGTGCTGAAGATTGGATTTGGCTCAGGGGCCATAGTTTAGGTACCACTGATGTAAATGATACATTGATAGATTAGTAGATTAGTCTGAAATTTATCTATATATATAAAAATGAATGTGTGTGTGTGTGTCCTTCATGCATTACCACACCGTTTATCCGATTGCCGTGAAACTTTGGGAAGTTGTTTAATATACTCCAACGAAGGTTTGTGGCATAGTACGATTACCATGAAGCTTTGGAAAGTTTTTTAATTTTTTAATACACTCCCGCAAAGTACATTTATCCTACGATAGATGGCGCGCGTTTACACGAGCATTCGTGCACAGTGTGTTCAATCGATTTCAAATTGTGAAGACCATTTCCCCCCTTCAAAAAATATCTCTATATATGCATTTGTGAACTGTTATTTACGATATTTATAATAATTTTTGTTTAATCACTTTATTTCGACTTTTTTTGCTAATTATGTATTCGCTCAAACTTCGTTAAAATCTTAACTGTACCCCGAACAACGACCGAAGTTGTAGGAAGAAATTCGCCTATTTTACCGATCTAGGTATCCCCCTTTTTCAAATTTTAATATCGACTCAAAATAATTTAAAAAGACAAATTACAATAAAACGGTTTATTATCCAACTATCAGAAATTTCACAACATGCCAAGGAAGAGAGGAAGGAGCAATTAAATAATTAAAATTATAAAGGATTAAAAAATATATATATAAATGGGGAATATCGCACTTCTGACAATCGCTGCAAGTGTGTGGGCTAAATTTGGAGAATCCGTGCTTCTCGCATGGACAACTGTATGTGGCCAGCTCACGCGTCGGAAAACCTTCCGAATTATTCGTGTACGCACCAGACGAAAAAACAAAAAATATCGTGTATCCACGAGCACTCCAATAAATAAATAGAATTGAAACAACACTTTGAAATGTTTTCCCGATGAAAATGAATAATAATAATAAGTTTCAATAAAAATGATAAAATGAAAATTTAATTTTATCATAACGAGTTTGCTTGAATTTCGTTTCTTCTGAGATCGCAGCAATGCGCGACGGGTAAGCTAGTATATATATATAAATTGTTTGGTTTATATATATACTAGTAGCCTGGGAATAAATAACCCCCTAGTAATAACCCCCTAAAAATAAATAACCCCCTAGTGGGCGTTATTTACAAATTTTCATGAGGCACGGTTCCTTTGACTTTTTTGTTCCTATCAATATTCTGTACAGCTCTGTTAAAGTCCCAATGGTAAGATTTACCCTCCGAATGAAGAGGTGGCGACTCCCAAACTGTAGTCCCTGTGCGAACAATAAAGTCAAAGGAAGCATACCCCTACTCGCGACCCTTCGTGAGATATAAGCCCTTGAAATAATAAATTCCTATTACAAATATACTGAATTATTTATATTGTTATATTGATATATTTCTAATTTGGTATATATATATATATA